CACAGCACTCCAAAAGCAAAAAGTGGAAAAAGAAACCGATCAGCCGATGCTCGTTGGGGACCTTGAGTATTTTTCCTCAACTTTTGCTCTGCACAGCACTTACAAAATAGCTGGTGAAGCAAGGTGCCTCGCATCATCAGCACCACAGTGCGACACTGAAGGAAGCAGAGCGTGTCTTTGACGTGTTTCATGCAGCAAACAGCACTATGCCATCAGCGTGGAAGAATCCTCAATCTGAAGAAAATCCATGACAAGTATAATATCATGTTAAAGTTTAAATGTAGAGCTGGTCTTGAGTTTGGCCATTTTGAATATGATTTTTAATTTATTTTAATTTCTGTTCAAATTAAGTTTTATTTGTCTGATTATTTTTCACCTAAAGTTTTCACATTTTTTAGATAACAAATACTTTGTATACGTTTGCCTCCTCTTCACAAATGGTCTACCAAATGGCAACAATTTATCTTTATCAGACACGAGCATCTAAATCTGTTTTTTATTTGTTGTCCCAATGAGTATGTTCAAGTAATTCAATTCTAGAGGAATCCAAGGGAAGACATGAGATCTGTAGCTACAGAAATGCATCCAGGGACAAAGTGCAATGTTCCTTTCATTGATTTATATTTTATTTACTATTTTGTCTTTTTTTTCTGTTCTGAATGTGTGCCAGTATATTGTTTTAAATGTCTGTTTGTGACTGTGCTGGTTTAGAAATATCCAAATTGTGTGTGTCTGCGTGCATTGCTGCATGTGTGCCTTTTTAACCTTGCAAGCTTGTGTGTTTACACCATGTGTGTACATGCTTCAGCTGTAGAGGCTTTTAGGTTGACACAAGATTGACCATGAAGTTTGCTTTATTTATGGGGGGTAAACTTAATTTGCATTTAGACCAGAGTCGAACACACACATGCAGCTTCTGTCTCTTGTTCACAGCTGTTAGGAGAATCATCAAAACACACACACACACTCGTAAACAGATCACTAGCTTGATTCGAAACTAGTAACGTTTTCAGGATTGTTGAAGCAGCTGTCACAGAACACAGGCCTCCATTTCTTTATTTGGCAGATCAGAAACAGGCCTTTATTTGTCATGAATGATTGTTAATGTGTTCCTTTACCCTACATCCTGAGGCTATGTTGAAATAGCCCGCTACCTGAATAGAAATGATGTTTCCAGGATTGAGGTCATGTTACTGCGGTGGGTGCTTGCGTACCTCCACTGTTATCTCATCCAAACTTATTTCCTTTTGACGTGGGATCAGCATGCACGGCACACCTTGATTCTACTTGATATTGATAATTAGTAACCTTTTCAAACTCCAAAAGGTTCAGTAAGGTTAAAGTGTTATCAATCTAAATTTCTGTTTCTATCGAGCCAGTTGATTATTTCATAATGAAACGAATCTGGATGTTCATGCATCTTAATGCGAGCTGCTTGATGCTGAATCTGTGAAAATCTGTTTCTGGGACAGAAGTAAAATACAACCTATGCAAAAAGAAACTTGCAAAGGATTTCCTAATTAACACTTCCTAATTCTCAGAGGCATGCCAATACATCTCTACTGTTTTGGTCGCAGCGTGTTACCTGTAAGAATCTTGCTGATCCTGGATTTTCACACATTTCCACAGCCTTGAAACCTAGCCATGATGCAGCATTGTGTTAATGAAAAGATCATGTTTCACAATATGGATATGAATAAATCGGTGAGTGTCAAAATGTGAGATTAAATGAGATGTTTGTCATTCTTCTGTTTTCCTCCTGTTGTGCAATGATTCCCCCTTCTTTGTTTTGTGGAATATTCAAACTGTGATCATAATATACATTTGTAAATATGTTATTCTGTAAAATTCTAACGAGATTGTTTTTAAAGATGCCGATTCTGTTTGTATATATGGTGTTTCCAGGGAATAAAAGGAGACAAGTCTTGACTTTCTCTTGAATGTCCCGCAGTGTCTCATATTTCTTCTTTTTGCCTTTTACGCTAAGGTCAACACTAACATCTGTTTGGACATTTTGCACAGAGATAACATCTCACACACTGGCTATTTGTGGCATGCAGCCACTTCAAAAGCAGCAGGCTCAGCAGTGCTAGAGGTCACTCACATCTCTGCAACACTGTCAGTCAAACCAGGCAGCCTCTCTGATCATTTAAAACCCAAATGTATGGGAAAACTCCCAATATCCAAACGAAAACATGTCAAGGGTGAACCTTTCCTCCATAGGCTGTCATTTAACTGTCAATGAAAGCATCCTTCTACACGTTTCCTAGCTAGTTGGGGACATTTTACCTCAAAAACAAAATACTTTTCCTCTTACCTGTAGTGCTATTTGCTCTCAAAAATAGTGAAACTATAGATGGCACTTGACTTGTCAGGTTCAAAGCGCAAATAAAAGAGTTGGAAAAACTCAACAGCAGCTTCTCTTTCCAGAAATCAGAACAGAGTTACTTGAGATAATCCACAGACCTACAGTATATGTGAGCAATTTCATGTAGGAACTATTTTCCTTTATCCAATCAACCAACCTCTATTCATGGAGGTTCATTTTTGCTTTAAAATGCTAGTTCACATTTTTGCGATTACCCAGTAGGCCCTACACTTATTATTTTAGATAAAAAATATTGGTTTTGATGAACAATATCTTTAGTCACCCTGTCAACCTGTATCTATGACTCTTCCCCACGCATGCACATGCCCAGACTTTGGAAACACCCACAAACAATCTGATAGCACCTGTCATATCATAATACATAATTTAGAAGGAAAATAAGACATTTGATCCCTCAGACATTCTCGTCACGTATGGGTACAATTTCCCATTTCATCCGCAGGCATGCCGGCACACAGCAGTTCAAATATCCACTTTAAGCCGATGGTAACTGCCGGGGCTATTTTTAGCTCGCTGATAAAGGATTCTCCTATCAGCATAGATGACCACCCTTGAATTCATAAAGCATTGCCTGTGTCCTTTAGATGCAGCAACAAACATGACAGTAACTCTCAAAGTGCAGATGTATCAAGCCTGTCTCGCCCTTTTGAGTCTATTTTTGTTTACAATATTCCATCTCAACACAGGCACTGCTACAGCTGCAACATTAAGATAAAAACAGTTGAATATGAATGAGGCTCTATAATGAGTCCAATTAACGTCCAATTATTGTCTTTTCATTTCAGCGTTTTGTGTACAGATAGACTTTTTTTAAATTGGGAATATTCATGTATCCATGTGGCCATCATTAGATTCCATTAGAAAAAAGCAGGCCTCTTACGTGTGGACCGTCTCAGTAATGCGTTGATTGTATGCCACTCTCCTGCTCTGCCTCTTCAGACGCTTCACTTCCACCTTGATGATTGAAATTGAGAGGTCATTTTCTCCAGCAGTGCTCTATTACATTAAGACACTGAAATGCTGTCATGTTCATTCAGATTTCTGATTAATGGAGAAGAAAGAAAGGTAGCAACTTGGCCTAGAACAGTGGTTCTCAAAGTGGGGGGCGCAGAGGCATGCCAGGGGAGAGACCAGGAGGAAAAATGGTTATAAAAAAAGAAAAGAAAAAGATTTTTTTTTAAAAATCATAATTTGAAAAATTATTGATTCGAAAATAATATGATGCAGTACAGTACAGTACTATTACGTCTGGGTCTCTGTGTTTCATTAAAGCTCGACTCTGTGTGTGTGCGGAACGAGCCATTTTGTGTGCGCAAGCGAGAGTGAGAGCGCACCGGTACTGGAGATCGTTGTTGTTAGCTTCTGGTGCTAGCGAGCTACGCTAACAGATATAAGGAGTTTTTTCAACAACAAAGTGGAGGAGAGTCCTCTCCTGTCAGACTGAGAGACTCAGTGAGATAAAGGACTCTCTCAGTGTTATCTCAGTGGGTCTCAAATGTTTTGGTCACCATTAATGTAAACAATTATTTCTGAGACACACGTTTATATGATCATTATAGTTATACAAAAATAAGAGAATAAATGAAAAACAGGTATGAAATACTAACAGTAAAAAAAGAATAAAGTTTAAAAGGGTTATTTGTAAAATATCCTTAAAGAAAAAGTAAATCTGCAGTTCTGTTTCAAATGGGTGTTGAGAGAGGTATCCATAGATCTCTTCATTTTGCTCTCAAAGTGCACCAGATTGATGCTTTTAACTTAAATATTTAAAAATCTTCCCGGGGGAGCTTGCCCCCCAGACCCCCCTATGTGAGGTCCACACAGCACCTGTAAAAATAGCACTTTACCCCTGCTTACACCTATATGCCGTGAGCTGATTATCGTGCCTTCATTGTAACAGTCGCGGGTACACTGTGTATTTGCGTGGGGATTGTTGCAGTAGAAAATTCAACTGTAGCGCCCGGTACATTAATGGGAATCCCTAAATGTTTGAGCACCCTCTATGAAACGTCAAGCTACCCCACAGCACCCCCAAAATAAATCTCTGGCGCCGCCACTGAGCCTGACTATTTGTGTTGGGGGGGCCCGACTTTTTTTTCTCCAAAGGGGGGGCCTGACAGAAAAAGTTTGAGAACCACTGGCCTAGAGAGTGATGAAGGCATTTAATGCTACCACATAGAGATTTCACTGGTTATGAATACTAATTTAATACCAATATGTCTACATTGACATGACATAAGCAAACTATACAATCAGGGAAAAGATTGGCTTTTTCAATATAGTTATTCTTGAATGAGACAAACACCTTTTAATGGCATGCAGTTTGGAAGTGCTGACATTTCTCAAGGCAAGATTCACAATGAGGTTGGTACAAAGTTAACT